CAGGGCAGGCGGAAGCAAAGCCAGCAAAGGCTTGTGAGTGGGCAGGTCGCCCCCAGCAGCTGGCCCAGTCTCCTGGCACTTGGAAGAACTGTGTCGGACTCATCTCAGCATGTCCTGTGGGACTGCAAAGGCCCTGGAGTTTCCCCTGCTGATTTCCAGCAAAGGCTGGAAGCTGCCTCATTCCAGCAAGCATACTGCTGCTGCTGGAGGCGCTGCCAAGCAAGCCAGGGCTCTTTTGCTTGATTCCAGGGGAAACTGTCAATCAGCAAAGTGCAGCTCTGCTAGCAATCCTGATCCCACCAGAAGACACTGGCCAGTGCGGGGTGCCAACAATTGATGCAGCCAGCTGTGCCAGCCATCGCTGTCTGATACCACCCGCATTCCGGTGCCAGCTTGTGCTGGACACTGCAGGTTGATTCCACCTGCCAGTCTCTGGTGTTTACAGCTCTGATTTATTTGTCTTTCTTTGGAAACCGACCACCCACACTACTCGGGATAAAAATCCTACACTACCTGAGAAATAAATCACACGAGTCCCTCCTGTGACAGGGCCTGTGCTGCCACACAGAGGGCAGAGACCCAGGAGGGAGCCCTCCTAGGCTAAAACCCTGAGAAGTGTCTGAAAAGTGCTTCCTATGTAGCAGCTGCAGACCCGTTTCAGTGAGATTGAGGGCTGGAAGCAGAAAATCTTCTGGAAAGTTTGCTGTGAATGCTGGGTATGGAAATAGGGGACCCAGGTCCCTCCCTTCCTGATCTTAGCCTCTCCAGGGTGCCCCCATTCCTCAGAAATGCAGCAGCCCTCAGAAGTGGCTGCCCGGAGTGGCGGGGCCACTGCACTCCCTGCCTGGCTGCACTCATGTCGGAGTGGAGAATGGCAGTGTGATAGCAGGGAGCACATTGCAGCAACCACCTCAGTCCACTGGGGTACAGGGGCAGCAAAAGGAAGGAAGGGGGAGAGGCAGATAGCCTCCGGCCAAGCTACACCGCCTCCAGTGGCAGGGGAAAATGAGTCAGGTGCTTCTCCTCTGTCTCAGAGAGAGAGCCCCTGGCTGGGAGACGCAGGGTGTGCTGGCAGAAGCCTTCGTGAGTGTGAGGGCTGTCCCCAGAAGCTGCAGGTAGCCTGTGGGGTGGGTTAAGGCGTACAGAAACAGTGAGCATCAGCGGCCTCTGCGTCAGTAACTCACTACACAAGTGCATAAGTCACAGAGTGGGTAAATGAAGGAAGGAAGGAGAGCTTGTCCCTGGCGGGCATGAGCCTAACATGAGCAAAGGTCTCATCTCCAGGGAGTCCTTGGTGAAAGTGGCCTGCTGGAGCACTAGTGGTGGGCTGATCTCTTCAGAGTCCAAGCTCAGAGGGGCTATGCTGATAGCCTGGGACTGTCCATGCAGGTAGGAAATGCCTACACTGTGCAAACTGGCAAAGGCTGCACATCGCAGCTTTCTCCCTGAGAGAGGGTGGTTAGTACGCAGAGCTGGTTGGTGGTACTGCATTGTTACTGGGTTCCAACTTCCCCGTGCCTCTCCTGCCAGTCCCTTACTCTCCTGTGTTCTTTCCTTGATGCCTACGGCTCTGTGCTAGGCCTTGGGAGATGTCCCCACCCTGACTTCACGGCAGACAGGATCCCTGCAGGAACCATTAATCAGCCCTATTTCCTGTCCTCCTCCAACCTACTGCTTTCCACTGTGACTTGCAAGCTAACCAAAGACATAAACAGCGTCTTTCATTAATATTCCTTGTTTGGTTCAGTTAGTTCCAAGAAGGGAGCTGCTGCCTTCTTTCCAGGGGAAAATCTTTGGTGTTGTTAACTTTACAAATTATCATTCCTGCTATAGGTGATTATAGTTTATGGAAACATTAAGGCAGAAAATGCAGAACAATTCTTTTGTTCTCTTTCATCTGAGTGTATTTTTAATCAGGCTACTCACAAAGGAACTCTCTGTTGGCTAATTTTGTCCATGTTGAGAGTAATTCTTTGTTGTTAGGAGCAAAGCCATAGATCATCCAAGACAGTAGTGCAATGAGACTTGGTTGTAGATTTATTTTGGTCTCCTGAACTCAAGGGAGGTGAGTTATTGGGCCAGAGTTTATAACACCCATTATCTTAGAATGCACTGGAGAATGAGGTTTGTTTCAGGGAAATTGGGAGCTTGAGAAAGGATGGCAAGATGCAGGTTTATACTCCGCTTGGATGGGCAACTGGACTTTTGCCCCAGGGCTACACATTCAGGGTCTAGAAAGGAAGGCACTGTGTGACTGAGGACTGATGTGCAGGGGCCAGAGTTTGGAGAAGAGTCTCACACACGCACACACGCACACACGCGTCTCTGAGCACTCCTCAAGCTGCCTGTGGTCACTAGCGTCAGCCTCGGCGGGAGCTCATTCTCCCCAGCTCCTTTCTCCCACCCTCTTTCTGACCCACCCCAGCCCCGGAGGCTTCCTCCTTCCTTAGCCTTCTAGAATTCACACCCAATTTTCACTTTCTCCTGCCTGCATAACAAGGTTATCCCTTCTTCCCCATGGCTCAGGAGGGCCTGTTGTCAGCCAGATGAATTGGCACTGTCTTGTAAAAGTGCAGACCCACAAGGCGGGCCACCTTTCCCTTGGTGATGCCAGCAGCATTGCCAGGCATCAGTTGTCAGGGTGAGAGAGGCTTTGTCTCTTTTCAGAGTCTCCCAAGGCCCTCCTAGGATCCCCAATGGCACGAGGGAGGAAGCAAGGAAAGGAGAGCCAGGACGAGGCTGTCTCATGGGTAGTGACGTGCAAGCATGCATTTGGGAGACTCAGGAGAAATGCAGAGAAGCCGCGTCAGTGAGGCAGCTACTGCCCTTCCAGGCAAGGACCGGACCATCTGACAGTCAGCGCTCCACGTGTGGCAAAACTACTTTTCCTTCTGCAATCTGAGAGCTAATTAGACCACGAACTCAGGGAGTCTGAGACCAGAGTCCCTGTTCCAATTCTCCTGTTCACGGAGAGTGAATAGTCCTCCTTACCTCAGTTTCTTCAAGGCAGTAGCGATAGTAGCAGGAACATTAGTAGTAGGAAGAAGAGGAAGAGGAAGAGGAAGGAAGAGGAGGAGAAGGAAGGGGAAAAAGAGAAGGGAGAGGAGGAGAGAAGAGAGGAAGATGAGGATGAAGAAGAAGATATTTTAACATTTACTGAGGGCTGTGAGCCTAATCCTTCAGCCTGTGGTCTCTTGGATTAGAGGTGCAATAATCATGTGAGGTTAAATAATTTTATTCTCAACTTCTTTCACCATCCAACTGTGATGCTGACTTTCTGTTGGCTTCTTGAATTGGCAGGATTTTCTTCCCAAGCTGTTCCCTCTGTCCGGAGAGCTTTCTCCCCCACTTTTTTGCGTGGTTTCCACCACCATCTTCAGGTCTCAGCTTACACGTGACATCTTCAGGCATAACTTCCAGGCTAGGAAGTATCTGACACAATTTGTAATTATTTATTTGTATATTCTTCTTAGTTCTGTCGCCCCTAGCCAGCATTAAGCTCCCTGAGGAGCAGGGAGCATCTTTGTCCTTCCTCTGACCTTCCTCAATTTCTGTGCCCCAACGCACAGTGAGTACACCATCAGACGTCCACAGAATGAATCAGCGAGTTAGTCTTGGCTAGCAGATGTGTGGAGTGAGGGGTGGAGAAGTGCAGCAGCTTGTGCAAGATCACAGGGCGGGAGCCAGTGTGAACTCCGATCTGCCGGAGTCCAGAATGGCTCCATCTTCCCCGCTCCAAGGAGGTGGCCGGGTGGAGTGCTGTCAGACAACCACTGGAGACAGACAGTCCTCAGGCAGTTTTTCCTCTGCTTACCACGGTGGCAGGTGGCAGAGATAGCATTCAGGGCACCTTCTGAACTTTCCGGACACACGGATCCTGCCCACTCTGGCAGCCTTCTCCCCTGCAGCAACTGTCTGTCTCGGATCACAGATAGCAAAATGAGCCTGGGGAGTTAGAGTCCGTGCTGTTTTCCCGAGGAGGGAACCAAAGCATGGGAAAATAAAGTAACTTTCCCAGAGTCGCATACTGGGTCGGGTGCACTTGGCCTCCACAGTCCCTTCTCACTGTGCAGAGTGAGCTGGCACTCCTAAGAGGGCGGCCCCGAGCTACCGTAAGAAGCTCGATCCCACAATTAAAAGAAACACAATACACATTGCAGTATGTATTCGTGTTAAGTGATCTGATCAACTTTCCTGGGAAATGAGCGCGAAGTCCTCTTGAGTTTAGCTGAATAATGAAGTGGACGACTTTGCCATTTACTTACCCCCATCCTCAGCCCCCCCACCTTCCTGGTGTCTGGCTACTAAAGGCTTCTCTGACTGCCTGCCCCCATTTGGGTGCCTAATCCCACACAGGTGCACATTCCACACCAGGACCAACCATGACATTGGCTGATAACCGGTTGAAACTCTTAATGGTCGCCACGGAAAGAGCAAGCAGCACTGAGATGTAACCACCGATGGGAGTGTAAGCCTAAAATACTGTACCCTGAGACCTTGTGTGTGCGGATAGCAGTCTCAGTAGCCTCCTCCGCTTTACCTCTGTACCTCTGGACTCTCCGACCATGCCTTTAAAATAGTAAATATGTTACATGCTTTAAAAAGACAAAACATGCTTTTAAAAATGCAGTCAAACAAGAAGGAACCGAAGGGACACCTCAAACCCTTCCTACCTGGAGCCATCATTGGTAACTCACTTGCTGGAGCGCTGCTCTCTGGGTTTTACTGTGAGGCTTTGTCTCTACCTGTTGAGGCATAACCGCTCTCTATGCACGCTGACAGTTACCTGGTCCTGCGTGCACACAACTCTCCAAGGAGTGTTTCTCTAGCTCAAGGGACTTCTTCAGACCCCTTCCCAGCTCCTACCTTCATGCTTGCTTTGCTCCTCCAGCCTGGCAGGAGACCCTCCCTAGTTCCAGACACTAAGCTCCGAAGTATGCCTCTCATTCGATCCATGCAACCCTAATAGCTGCCTTCTTTTTTCTCTTTGTTCGCCACAGCTTTTTGCGATCTTTGCATTTGCAACATGCGGTGGCTATTCTGGAGGCCTGAGGCTGAGTGTGGACTGTGTCAACAAGACGGAAAGTAACCTCAGCATCGACGTCGCCTTCGCCTACCCCTTCAGGTAGGGAATGCCGGGTTCTGCTCCCTCGCCTCACAGAGAGCACTTCCTTCCTTCTGCGGTTTCCTGTGGGAAAATGCAGTTTCTCAGGGGCTTCTGGCTAAACAAAGATTCTGCTTGCACCAACATAATTTGCAGAGTGCCCCCCCAATACCCTGCCCCACACTGAAGGATTTCTGAGATGCACCCTCAGGCCACAACTGACTGACCTCCAAAACAAAAGCCAACAGGTCTCCAAAATGTGACCCATGATTAGGGGCTGTCAGGAGGGAGAACTCAGGTGTACAGTCCCTTCCCCCCAGCCATTTCTCCACCCTGAGGTTTCCCACGTTCTCTAGATTTGTGCGTCACTTCTGACTTCATATTGATTATACAGCTCTGCCTGATAATGCATTTAGTATATTAATACCATATACTGTATCCAATTGCAGGACACTACTCAGTTGTCCACCTGCTTAAACTCGTGAAGTCCTCACAATGGCCCCTTGAAGGGTGTACTACTACCATGGCCACTACCAATGAGGAAACTGAGGCACGGTTACATTTGCTCACATTCCTTTGGCTGGTGACAGGCAGAATCAGGGTGTGAGGCTCCTCACCTGAGCCAGAGCTCATATCTCTATTCATGTACTTAAACTCCCGGAAATAACTCTCTTGACACCCACAAAAGCCAATTCCTCATCTGTGTCTGTGTCTTGTACGTTAAATGATGGCTGGATGTCTAGCAGGGTTCATTCCCAGCCTCACTTCTTGTGATTCTGATCCACATGCCCAAAGTGGATTGATCGAAGTCAATGTTCACCTAGTTTATTTCTGTAAAGCTCTAGTATACTTGCCATCAAATAACTGGTGTGATTGTCAAAAACAACTTTCCACATATTATTTTGACATGCTATTCATATACTCTCCTGTTCACTTCAATTGACGAATGTTCACTGAGTATTTGTCTTGTACCATGCATGGTCCTGGCTCTGGAATTGCAGAAAAAATTAAAATTGGCCATGACAAACTTTTTAAACAGGTTTAATGTTGTCTGAAAATACTTTCACAGACTCTTAGACACCTAATACTAGTAAAAAGATAAAGGAGAGAAAGAAAAGGAGGAAGAAAAAGCAAAAGAAATGGAGGCAGAGAGGAAGAAATTAAAAATTATGATCAAATTCAAGAAATATTTCTTAACATTTTGTCTTTCTGACCAACACTTTGAATCACCAAGAGAGAGACAGTGTTTTCCAAATACGTTTGACCATAGAAACTGCGTATCTGGAAGATTCGCCTCTCCTGGAATGTACCTCGAATATGTTGGTTGAGTGAGCTTTTCTAGTCTGAAGCAAAGGGGTCTCGACTGACAGGTGGTAAATCCCAGGAAGTGCTACTTATACTGATACTCTGATCAGCTTTCAGGAGAAGAGCTGACAACAGTCGCAAACACTCCTGCTCGTGTGGTGTCCTAACTAATAAGTGAGTACAAACTCAGACATATGAAGCATGCTATCCTTGGCAATTAGGTGAAAATAGCTGTGCGGGTGGAGATGGCCACTGAGTGCCCCATGCTTCAGAAAGTTTTGCATGGCCCCTGGGCTTCCAGATGAGGGGCCACGTCAGCCCCTCATTGACCTGCTCCGCCTAGACCAGGAGCTCAGACTCGCCAGTGGCCAGGCAAGGGCTGGAATGCTCTGCAACGTCATATTGAGACCATACGCTCTGCTCGGTCCTGCGATGGTTACCCGCCAGGGGATATGGGAGATCCAGAGCAACCCTTTCAGGTTTGAAGAACAGGTCACTGAACATTGACTCATTGGCTCAAAGCATGGCTAGTCTCTCTCAGGCTAGAGGAGAGCAATCAAGAGAAGTATCTGACAGCGCCTGAGCTGGCGGGGTGGAGAGCAAAGAGCAGGGCTCTGTTCAATTTCACACAATCCTTGTCTAAGGGTACAGTTAGAGGTGGCTCTTCAAGCCGCAGTTTCCATCCTGGGGTTCCATAACTTTCTTCCCAAGACTTAGGATTGGCTCATTGAAGGTAGACCAGAACATTTTTTGTCTATTGCCATCTGTATATAGAGCAGCCCACTCATTTAATAGGGTTTTGCTTGCTTTCTGAAGTAAAGATACTCGGCTCTTGTTTTTCAGTAGCACAGCTTTCCCCAGACATTGCCTTGCCTAGGAGCCCATGTGCAGGAGACGTGTGTCACTGGGAAAGCCAAGCTGGGGGAGGCACAGGGCCTGCTCCCCCTCTGGCCCGCCCTGCCCTACGGCCTGGGCTGTCTTCGGGAGCGCCAGGTCTCCCAGCAGCAATTCCAGATCCTCTGTCGTAGAAGAAAGAAACCCTTTGTCACTTTGCTTACCACATCTACACAGCATGTACTGTGTAGAATGAAGACACAGGATCGTTCTGTACCTTTCCACAAAACATCTTACTTTCCTTCCAGAAATGTGCATCTAGGATTTGTACGTAACGTTCCACAGAGGCTCGATTTTACTAGAGCTTCAATTTCAGTTTTACAATTGGATGCTTTAAAATGTCTCACTCTATCCTGCTGGGAAAGACCTCAGTAATGAGAAAGAGATGGCTCAGATGATCAGGAAGGAATGTGCTTCAGAAGAAGTTGGGTCAGCAAGATACTGCTGGTGTAAATCATTAAAAAGCTGTTTTCTCCTCAGACTTCACATGCCAAAGATTTGATCATAATCCTAGATATAAAATAGGAATGTTCAACAGCTTTTAACTCTTCAGTTTATTGCAAGCACAAGGGAGACAATAACTCAAACGTCAAGTTACTTGAATAAAAACAATTATTTAGTAACTAAAAAATCAAGGGAAGTTACTTAAATATCAGAAAAATATTTCAGGTTTCAAGATAACCTCATCTAGGAAATTCTAGATAATTCATAAATACTCAAGTGCTGCATCTAATAAACACGCCAAAAATATGTTAGCTCCTTTATACCACCATATGTGTATACTTCTGGATCGTATCAGAAAGAACTTGCAGGCCAGGGATTTAGCTTAGTGGTTCTGGCACCTGCCTCAAAAGCACAAGGTCCCTAGTTCAATCCCCAGTACCGAAAGAAAGAAAGAACTGGCTTTCAGCAATGTGTCATTTTATGATAGAAATAAAATAGTTACCACCTGACCTTCCTTTTCATTTGTGATCAAAATCAGCAAGTAGTGTTGAACTAGCTTCTCATCTATCAAAATGTGCTACCCTGGTCTGAAACTGGCTTGATAATTGGGCCTGGACTCAGTATTTGCAGCACTTCCTTTCACAGTATGAAGTAAGCTTTCTCCTTTGAACTTACGCGATAGAGTTGTAGAGAGCCTGCCTGAGGACAGTGAGTACTTTGCACTAAAACTTAAATAAATAAGAGAGGCGGTCAGTGTTTTCCCGATAAATAAATGCACAGTACTGTGCATGTAGGTATCTATGGGAACAGAATTAGGAAGAGTCAGTTAATAAGCTGTAGTACATCCATGAAATGTGCTGGGCAGCCCTTACAAATCATGTACTCAGATCCATGTAGAGAGAGGTGAGATGCCTGAACACACAGCTAAGGAGGATTCGTATGACTTCATGCTAGTTGGCTGGAGCAGACGCTGCTGCCGCCACCCTGGTGTCCAGCCCTGTCCCTCCAGGCCTACTCTTCTGAGTGCAAGTCGAGCCCGTTTCCATTGAATGCTCTGCTCTAGCCATGGGGACTTGTCTGGCCGATAGGCAGGACGGGCAAGAAGTGCTCAGAAGTTTGTGTCTCCCGAGCAGCCCTCATTCCGTGACTCATTGAGCCGGAGGGCAGCTTGGCCTGAGCTGGGGCCACTCTCAGGTGCCCACGGGATGGCACCACTAGCCAGGGAAACCTGAGCATCAGCGCAGCCTGTTCACTCCTCCTTCCCTGCCTCCCTTTGCCCTGTCACTGTCAGGACGGAGTTGCGCTCAAATCTTGACCTCGGGTTCTGCTTCTAAGACAAGGGTGTTGCCTGGGAAGCTGTCATCACTGGAGAAGCTGGCTGAGTGGATGAACCAATTAATCATCAATCGTTGATGATTAGATCCCTACTTCTCGCACTCTGGAATCATGTTGTATAGTATTGTTCTTGCAAAAACAAAAACAACAAAACTGAGAAAAACAGCCTAGCTGGGTGTTGTTGACAAACCGCTTACCACCGCTGCCCCTCACCTGTGGAACAAAGCAGTGTTATCTACTTCACAGTACTGTTATAAGTACTAAATGGCACACGCGTGCAGGCTGCTTTAACAAGGGCCTAGCATGCATGCAGTAAGTTCCCTTTTAGTATATTATTTCTTCTTTCACTAGCAAGTAAGTGTAATTAAACTAGAGAGCTAAAAGGTAGTTCTTCTAATTGGCAAAATTAATCTTGAGAAACAAATGACCTCTTTATTATGTCATATTTTACCCAGCACCAGAATTTCCTCAACCCTCTCCTTACCGACATGCAAACATTAGGTGCTGTACCCCTTTAACTGGCTCATACTAACCTGCCTTTATGTTTTCAGTGTTTATTTAGTTTTCAGTGTTTATTTAGTGGCCCTAGGTGGCATTCCTGTCATCAAGCCTAATTCTTCTTTTCTGATTAAACCCAGGGGGGATGGAGCCCCCCAAGGTGACGGAGATCTCCTGGCACTGGAGATCTTGGAGCCCTGGGAGGTGTCTGTCATGGGGAGGGTAGTGGGAGACTCGGCCTGAGGCTGGTAATGCTGAAACAGAATTCCAGGAGGGGGAGCGCCAGCTGGGGCTGCTCAGTGGGGTGCTGCCCCCCGAGATTCTGTCACTTATCCCTGGTTCCCTGACTCCTCTTTGGGCCGCTGGGACTGGCGAAAGCTAACCCCAGGAGAGCTGTAGGGCTGGGCCATTGTCCAGCAAGGCCAGCTCTGTGGGCCGGAGGCAGGGAGGGTCCTTTTCCCTACAAGTCACTCGGAGCGTAGTGATGATCAACATTTTTTTTCTTACCCTAAGGGCCAATTTGGGGGACATAAAAGTGTTAAGGAACGCAGTTTTTGTATCTTATGTTCAGGAAACTTTGCATTTGCAGTTACAGTGAAGCACTCACTTGTTGATTCTCATTACCACAAAACTTCACTCTTTCCTGCTAAACTTTCAGAACCCATGTCTCTACAGTTTGTCGGTTCAATGTTGGGCTTTAAACTGAATTCCGAGGGTGACTCTGACTTGGTCGAAGTGTTGTGGGCAAAGGGCCGAGGCCGTGTAGTGGATGGGAGTGGTATCGCATCCCGGCTGATAGAGCTGCCACTAAGAATGCTGGGCCTCAGTTCCCTTATTATAAAACAGAAACAATAACAGCCTCTTCCTCATAGTCTGCAGCGACCATTTAATTAGATAATGCAAGCTAATTTGTAGGATAGAACCTGAGAAATACCAAGTGTCCCCTGAACTGTGTCATTGTGTAGCTGTTGTTATTGTTAGGTTCAGCTGTACATCAAGGATAAGGAGGCCAGCCCTGTTTCTAACAATGAAGAGAGGAGTTATCATCTGTAGAGGATGTTTTCGGCGTCACAGAAGATGCATAATGGCTGTTGGCATGGACTGAGATTAAATTTTAAAAATTAGCAAGTGACAAATTAATTTACATGTCCACCTCAGTTGTCCCCACTCACTCTCTCTAAAAGAGGCTAGATTGGAAGTTTGTTGCAATACTTCCCCAAAAGAGCATGGTGGTGGGAATTGGATAGATGGAAGGCTTGTTATCAGCTTTCCCAAAACAAACCCGAGACGAGGACTGGTGTGCGGGTGGTTTCCTTGGTAAGTGACCCCTGGGGGCCCCGTAAGGGATGCAGCTGGGAGACAGGAAGGGAAGAAGGGTGATGCAGAGTGGGTTCCTGCGCAAGTTTCCAACGGGGCGGGCCCGAGACTCCGGGAAACTGGGCGACGTGTCTCGAGAGGACAGTGCTGCACCAGGCCGTGATGAAGCTGGGGTTGTAGCCACCCTGCTGTTCACTGGTCAGAAGTCTGTGGCCTTTAACCCTCTGACACTGGACGCGAGAAGCACCGGCCTGCAGGTCATGAAACCCTTCAGGCAGAGGTCACAGGTGCTGGTATTAGAAAGCTATCCCTGTGTGCAGAAACGCAAGGCCCAGAGATACAGGTGGGCAGCTGATAGCCTCTCATGCCTGGGGGACTTTCAGGTCATTTGGCCTCGCCCTGTGAATGGCACCATCCGTGTCATGTATTCATTCTCTCAGTAAGTGTGTTTATTGAGCATCCTTCAGTGCAGGTAAGGCCCTGAACTATATGGTATACATTGGCTGGCAAAATAGACATGGCCCCTCCCGCATAAAATGTACAACTAGTTGGGGTGGAGGAAAACAATAAACAAGTAGGAAATATAAAATAAAATGCATGTAGAGACACAGGTATACATATGATTTTATTGTGATTCCCGTGAAGAAAACGAACATTGTGCAGCGATGCGAAGGAAGTGTTGGTGAGGATGGAGAGGTTCAGAAGGGCCTCCCTGTGGAGGGGCCTTGAACGCAGTCCACATGAAACAGGAGGAGTGTTCCAGGCAAAGCGAGCAGCAAGTCCTCAAGGGAGAGGAAATGAAGCAGCAAGCAGGCAGGGAGGAGATCCCAGATGTCGATGACGGTCTTGAGGGGAAATTAAGAAGGCTGATGGAAAGGGAGGAGCTAGGCTATTCTGGATTAGCCGACTGGAGGAGACGCTGCTGATGAAACGGCATCTGAGTGCAGACCTGAAACGGCCAAGCAAGAGGCCACCGCCAGGACAGCGGAGGCTGCAGGGCAAGTGAAGTCCGGCGGGGCCTGGCCTCCGAGCATGGCGAGGTGGGGACCAGCGTGGGAACCGCCACCTGCGCGATTGCAAGGAGGCTGGGGAATGGCAGCAGATGGAGCTGAAGAAAGAGGCAGAGCAGGGTCGGGTGGATCTGGAGGGATCACACCCAGCAGCATGACAGGTTCGGTGCTGACTGAATGGAAAGTCGCTGGGGCTCTAAGCAGAGGAGCCACGCAGTTTAGATTCGTGACGATCTGGCAGTGGAAGTAGACAGATGAAGGGTCACAGAGCCGGGGTGAAGCCGAGGACAGTAATGAGACAGCTGTGGCCACCCGGAGGGAAAGAGAGAGGGAGCGGGCGAGGCCGTGGAGAGGCCCAGGCTGCGGCGCGGCTCCGGGCAGTCGTCTGTGCGGTCCCCTACGCCTCACCTCCCGCGAGACTCGCGTCCGCACCCTGCTCTTGCCTGTCACCTGCTTCCATCCCCGCTGCCAGGGGGGCTGTGCTATTTCTCGGGTGTGCGGAGGTGGGGCTTTCGAGAGCTGATGGCTCACGGGTCCTCTGATGAGTCCCACGGAAGAGCGGTCGGAGGTGGGGCCTGGCTGGGGGAGGGGCTCTCGGGGGGCGCGGCCCGGGTCCCGCGTCCTCCTCGCTCTGCTTCCTGCTGGGGCGCAGCGTCCTTGCCCGCTTTCTGCAGGCCGTTCCAGGCCGTCCTGGGCCGAAGCCCTGAGCCGGGAAACCTCTCCTCCTCTCCGCTGCGGGGCACGGGCAGCACATGCAGAGCGGTGCATCCCCGACGCGGGAGCCCCTTCGGCGTCTGAAGTCCTGTGCTCCTGACGCGGGTTTGCGGGTGCCCTTGAGGCCACTAGTTTTCGTGCCAGCACCAGCCTGGGCAGCGAGAACGGGGGCAGGCGCCGGCTGACTTGAAGGACGAACGTGGACGCTTCTCCGAAGAGCGGAAAGCGCTGAGAGCCTGTGCCCGGACGGGGACCTGCTCCGCGGAATATGGCTCTGAGCAAGTCTTGGCCCGTGAGAGTCCAGTCCGCCCGCCCGGGGAAGAGCTCAGAGCAGGAGGTCAGACCGGAAAGCTGATGCGGCTCAGGGCCGGGATCAGAAAGGCACCCACAAGGCGGGCCGGAGCCTGGGCTGCGGGAGACGCTGCCACCCCGAGGCGGAGGCCGCCGGCGAAAGCGGGAAAGCGGCCGGCCCGGCCCATAAGCCGAGGACCGCTCTTACAGTTTTCTTTTTTTGGCACCGGGGATCGAACTCGGGACCTTGTGCTTGCGAGGAGGCAGGCAGCAGAACCACTGAGCTAAATCCCCAGGCCGACGGCTCTTACATTTTGAAATGATGCTCTAGGCAATACATAAGAACCCCTCAAACAGCCTCAGTTTTGCTTCTCGACCTGTTAAGGCTAAACTATTTAATATCTGCCCTAAAAAGAAGAAACATTTTACTGACCCATGGCAAGAGGTGTAGAAAGAGGCGGTAGCCTCACACACAGGCAGGGCCTGTCTCAGAGAAGGGGAGGCAGGGCGAGAGGAGGAGAGCAGAGCAGGAGGGCCCGGAGGAGATGAGCCCACCGAGAGGACTCCCCCAGGGCTGCCGGAGACGGGGCTGTCCCTCGCTCCGCCCTCCAGAGCACCCACCCCCACCCCCGGCCGACCACCTGGACGCCAGTTGGTGAGGAGCAGGCTCTTGGAGATGCCAAGCAGGCAGAGGAGCAGCAGGGGAAAGGAGAGTCCCACGCTGGCCAGGAACCCTGGCAGCACCCAGCAGAAGGAAGGGCACAAATTCCAAGAAATTACATGATACAGTTTCTTTACTTCAGTAGCACAGGGCTTGCTCTCATGCCTGCCCTATTTAGATAAAATCTGAACAGGCTGTTAAAGACCAGGATTGGGGTACTTAGCAAAGAGGATCGTGGGTCAGGTAATCAAGGTGTTGTTTCTGCTGCACTCCTATAGGGAGGTGAGCAGTGCGAGATTCAGCCAGGGTGCAGAAGGGCCCTTTAGGGAGCTTTTGGGTCTCACTGTGCATCATTTTGCAGAGCAGGCATAGGGGATGTGGTGGGGAGAGCCTCATCACCTGGGAGACTACACCCTGGGAGAACACAGACATAGCCTTGTTGTAAGTTGTAGAAAGAAGTTCTAGTTCTCCCTTAAACCTGTGTTTGTTTTCTGTCCTGGAATAAGGAGAGAGAGAGAGATGGGGGGAAGAGACACAGAAACAGACAGAGACAGACACAGAGAGATACACAGAGACACAGAAACAGACAGAGACAGAGAGAACGAGGAGGGGAAGAGACACTGAGTGGCCTAGAAAAGTTGTCCTCAGTGATAACCCAAGAATACCAAAAGGAACCATCACACACACATCTGTTTGCTGTATCGTGTCCCCTGAAAATGTTAGGTGCTGCCCTTGTTCCCATCAACCTCCATCCCTGCTTCTCTTGGAAAGTAGATGTTAAGCCCATCACTGTGTCCTCAGGGGACTGGAAGTCCCACAGTGCCTCTCAGATTTCAGGCTGCTGTGAACTGGGTGGTGGAGCCCATGTTCGTCCCTGACAGAAGGGCATTTTGTGACCTCCAGGGCCAAGGGTCAAGGGAAGAGGAGGCACGTGCTCAGGCTGACTTGCTCGCCACACGCTCAAGAGCCAGAATCCAGACATGGAAGCGTAGGACTGGGGCGCCTGGAACAAGGAGCAGGCTGGGATTCACACTCCCTGGTTCCCCTCCTGGACACTGCTGTGCGATCCCAGAGGTGCTGGGCTTTAGAGTCATTCTAGGGTGAGGCTCAGGAGCCTCCTACCTGCACCCTTTCCTGCGGAAAGCTTGTTAAAAATGGAGATTGCAGGGTCCTACCCAGGCCTACCCAGTCAGCATCACTGGGGCGAGGCCCGAGACTGCATTTCACTAAGCAGCCAAGTGAGTCTACACCCGCAGCCAGCAGAGCAGCCAACCGGAGGGTTCTGCGGAGCTTCAGTGGCGATGTCCTGGTGTTTTGTGTGTTAACATTGCCGGATTTTAAAAAATTGGTATTATACCTCGATTTAAGAAAATACTTGCTTTTCTTAACAGGCAAAACAGAAAAAGAAAACAATATGAATAAGAAATGGATGTTCCTGTTTTGTGTCATTTCAAAATTATCTATGATGGCATGTATTACTTTTAGAATGAAAAAAAACATAAACTTGACCAGAAAGCAAATGGCGATTTAGATGTCATAATAATGAGCAAACCAGCACCTTCGCACTCCCAACGCGTCCCCTCCAGGATGTCCCCTTAAAAAGACTAAAGTGGTCATTGTCTTCACCCCTAGGCTGGGCATGAGGGTGAAAGCGAGAGAGAGCAATGTTATCCCGTCTGCCATTCCGTCTGTTGCACCTGTCCGCACACCCATGTGTCGATTCCCATTACAAACACCATTAACAGTGGGCTTGGTTACCACCCTCCTGACTGTCAGGAGAACACTACAACTGCCAGGACCAGTTTAATTTTACTCCTCTTTTTGCAAATCAGCACACGGGGGCTTAAACTTTGAGTCCACACTATTAGTAAATGCCAGACTTAGAAATTATTCCAATATTCAGCCTCATCTCTGTGGGGTTGTTTACCCCATGCCCAACTCTTTCAACAGCATAGAAGGATGCTGAAGATGAAGATGATAATGAAAGCAATGTACAGCATCATTATCATCAAATAGAGGCAGCATGGATGACTTTACCATCACCAGGAGCTATGTGAGCCCCTCTGTGGGCTGCACCTTTAGTACCAGCAGCGTACCTGAAAGGTGGCCGCTCGGAACAGCACCTTGTCAGATGAGGAGACGGAGGCTCTTGGGTTGAACAACTTGCCTGTAGGCACATAGCTCACAGAAGTACAAGACCAGACTTTGGACTCATGGGTCCAGTTCACTCCAAAGACCATGTTGCTCCCCAGCATGCTGCAGAAGCAGCCTCGATGTCCCCGAGTTGACAATACCCAGTGTCGCAGGCTCCCTCCTCACTCTCAGACTTACAGCTCACTCTCACAGCAGGCCAGGAAGGTGGGTCAGGAGGGACTTACAGCTCGGTTCTCAGGGACATTCAGTTCTCTGGGACCTGGGATTGCTGGGATTTGTTTTCCAGTTGATTTTTTGAGTCCAGGAATAAACTGTGAAGAAAAACAACAACAAACAATTCCAGTCTAAAACCGAAATAATTAGCCTTTTTCCTTTTTGCAGCTGGATAGAATTTGAAGTAAATGAGCTGTTGTGGATATAGTTTGTAGAACTTCATATATTTCAGTTTGAATGAGTATACACCAAAGAGGCAGCTGTCACTAAGTCACACAAATGAAGGGTTTTATAAGAACAAAGTTATTCCCAGGGGCGCAGTGCTTCCCGCAGCAGATTCTCGTTTCCTGGCAAGGGGGCAGGTTGTAGAGGGAAGCACGTGAGGATCCAGAGGTCCCAGACACTAACCAAGGAACTGCAGCGCCTTTGATTGTGGTGAAGGATCTATAGTTATGATACCCCACGAAGTTAACCTTGAGATGTCGGAAATAAGTGAAAGGTGCAGAGAGCAACTGTTCCGGCTAGAGTTCAGCCTTGTGAGGTATACTTGGTAAGCTGTGAATTTTGCTCAACAATCTCTATGAACATGTTTTGTTTCTGTATATCTACTAGGGGCTTTGTTTTTGCCCTTTCTTTTACCGACTTGCATTCCAGCATTTAAAGCAGTTACATTTTCTGTTGCTCCTTTCCACATTTTAAGGTGTATTTTTATTAGAAAAAGTAACTCTTTTTTTTCTATTCTGAGAAGCCTTTTAGCAAACCTATGGAGATGTTAAAAAGACCGGTGGTTACCAGGAATTGTGAGTGGGTGAGAAGGGTGAATAAACAGAACACAAAGGATTTTTAAGGCCATGAAAACAAGGTACCACAACAGTGGGCAGGGTGGACACGCGTCACTATGCATTCGTCAGTGGCCTGAGAACGTACAGCACAAAAAGCAAACCCTGGTGTGAGCTATGGGCAATAATGACGTGTCCGTGTTGGTCACGGCAGTGACAGCAGGATGTGCTGCTCCGTAGGGAGGTGAGGACAGAGCAGGCTGCGAATGTGGGGTCAGGGGTTGTGACAAGCACTGTCTGTTCCTCCCTCTCCATTTTGCTGTGTACCTAAAAATGCTCCAAAAAGTCCTTTTTTTTTTTTTTTTTTTTGTATTTTGAAACAGGTTCTCACTATGTGGCTCAGGCTGGTCCCAAACTTTCAGTCCTCCTCCCTCCGCTTCCTGAGTGCTGGGATTCCAGGTGTGAGCCACCACACCTGGTAAAAGTAGTCTTTTTCTTAAATCTCAGACAGAAATGGATTAAGTAGGGTGACAGAGTCATCCTTAAAGTAACTCCTCAGAGACAGTCCCTCTGAAGAGCTTCGTGGTCGCTGTTTGGTTACGCGTTTGGCAGTGTGGGTGTCACACCCAGCCTGCAGCCCCGCTGCACCCCGAGACTCGCTGTCAAGAGTTTGCTGTGGATCATTTCAGACTTTTTCTTTATGTACTCATTTTTATGCAAACTGGTTCTAGTGTAAATACTATTTTTCACATCACTTTTTATTTTAAAAATCATTTGAAATATCTTTTTGCATCAGCCCTTGGGTCTACCACATGTTAATTTCTATTTATTTTTGCATTTCTGAGAATCAGACCCAGGGGTTCTCTACCACTGAGCTGAATCCCAGGTCCTTTTATTTTTTATTTTGAGACAGAGTCTTTCTAAATTGCCAGGGAGAGCCTTGAACCTGCAGTCCTTCTGCCTCTGTCTACCGGGTAGCTGGGATTACAGATGTGTAGCACATGATTTGTGTCACAACCTATCATTTAGCTTTACCATAACTTATGAAGCCAACCACCTACTGGTACACATTTATATTGTTTCCATTTTCCACTGTTACAAATGATGCTATAACTAACATGGTTTTGTAATTTCATCTGCAAGGTAAGTCTCTGGGCCAAAAGTTATACACACCTTACATTTTTAAATAGATTTTGCTAAAATCTGTAGAAAACAAGTTATTTGCCTAACAGGAGACTATGCAAGTGTCTGTTTCGCTACATTCCTCCCGTTGGGGAATATTATGAATGCATTAATGATTAGAGTGGACGGATACGTGTACATTATTATACAGCAAAGAAGCGTGCACTCACTCATGCCTCTTCATGTCGCACCCCCGCACGCCCGCCCTGTCACCCACTGGCTGCCCCAGCTGTCTCGGGAAGCTGCATTTCTCCAGGCACTCTGGGGAGACTTCTTACCAAGGCCCTGTGCCCGGCAGCGAGGACACTTAGCATCGACAAGGAAACAGGTTCCGTTTTCAGGGGCCTTGTCCTTCTTCAGAAGACTTCACAGTTAATGACACTGAGACACACAGAAGTCACAATCCCCATCCAAGACGCATGGAAAGACCTCACTCATACAGGAATTTGCACTCACGTCCCCCAATCCTTCCCCAACGTGAGCATCACAGCGTCGCAAGGCAGATAATTAGCATGCAGGCCCTGTTAGTCTTTACTAATGACAAGGAAGTCTGCAACAGCCTAAATTCACAAAGGTATGTTTGCATAGTGTGTGATATCAGTGTTCACGAGTTCTGAGAGCTCATGGATTTATCAAAGCAGCTGACATCATGGCGCTCCCCTTAACAGCACTCATCATACGCCGGCCCTGCAAGGAGCCCATCCAGCAGTGTCAGAGAGGCAAACTACCCCAGAGCGTTGGTCCTCAGGGAGTTGATGCCTGTGTATCTCTGACTTTATCTGATGCTGCCCAATGAGAGGAACCAGCTCTCCAATCTCCCCTAAGTCATCACACCTGTCGTCTGAGAAAGTGGGAGCCACAGATAATCACCATTAACAGGACTTTTGTCAGGGTAGGGTACTGCCTTAGGATGAACTTTACCACTTCCAAATCTGAAATTACTGCTCTGATTGCCACGATCTTTACAGATAGAGTTCAGATCCTCTGCAGTGTGAACATTCTCTAACAAATGATGAAGCTTAATGTTTGCTTTGTACAGATAAAAGAAAAAAGTGCAGCAGAAATACTCCATCATGAAACAAAGAGTGTCATGGGAGGAAATGAACCCAAATGCCTCCTGTTGTGCGAGACACATGACGGAATGTGCTGAGAGCTCCTTCCGCACTCGGGCCCATCCCTGGTGCCAGATGATTGCATTTCTATAGTTTTAAGAATCACTTCAATTTTCGACCAAAGGCTGCTAGCCAGAGAAACAGTGCATCTCTGGCATTTTCTATCATGCTTTCTGGAAGAGAAATACTCATAGTAAGAAAAATTAGCAAACTCAGCTCTTCCTTCAGAGCCCCGCTGTGTCTCAGGGGCAGAGGTGCCCCGTCTCTGTGGATCCAGCCTGGGATCTGTCATGACCTCGTCCTGGGCCTCCAAGGCTGGCTCATGGGACGATAGGTGGCCACCATGGTGCCAGCCAGTCAGTGGGTGAGGAACAGCCACTGGCACGAAGGAGACTCATTCATTCCACACAGCTGTCGCGCTGGGTGCCAGGGACTGTTCCTGGTGCTGGCGATGGAATGGAGAGTAAGACAGACTGGGTCTTCTCCCAAGCATCACACGGAAGTGGGGGGAAGAACAGAGAAAGTAACAGACAGAAGGCCAAGTCTGTGGCAGTTATAGCCAGCAACATGGTAAAATGCAAACCCAGTGACCCAGATATGACTGGGCAGGGTGGGGCCACAGGGGTTCCTGCCGGGGGACATCGAACTGAGGTCAGAATGGCAGGAAGGACAAGCCGGGAAGATGGAGAAGAGACCAGTGCAGGCGGCACAGCAGGGCCCAGGCAGGAAGAGGCCCGGGCCAGCACAGCAGCGGAGGAGCAGCGTGGCGAGAGCACAGAGGGTGGAGATGGCCAGGCCAAGAGCACACACAGCCTCCCGGCCCGAAGCCGGAGCCGCCTGCACTCTGTTCCAGGTGAAATGGCATCTTTCCCAAAACCAGGGAGTGAGGCGGCCTGATTTAAATATCGCAAGGATCATTTTAATTGCTGTGTGAAAATATATTTTCCAGTGGGATGAGGAGGGCAGTTAAACGGCTAGTAAAGTTAATCTAGACAGGGAATAGCAGGGGCTTAACTCAGGTTTCCGTGGTTCAGAGGGAGGAAACTGTTCAGGGTCCATTTGAGCTATGATCCATAGAACTGCTTGATGGAAAGCGCACCTGGGAGAAAAGGTCAGGCCGAGAGGGAATCGCGTTTGGGGCCCAGAGCCTGGGAGGTCAGGGAGCCATCACTGGGAAATGGGTCACTTACCGGGCTTTAGAAATGTAAACTTGAGGTATGCAGTAGATGCAGCAGTGGGTCTTCTTTAAATGAGTGAGTGAAGGGCTTGTAGCGCACTGCGCTACAGCAGTCAGATGCCCCATTTGGGCAGTTCGCCTGAGAAGCAGCAGGAAAGGAGAGACAGGGAGTTGCACGTTCCCAGGGAGGTACAGTCAAAGCAAAGCAGCCACGCTGAGCTCCATGCATGCCGCAGGTATAAGAGCAGAAGGTGAATAAGAGAGACACCAGCCACAGGAGTGAGAGTGTCACTTAGCAGCAAGGACATCTGGAGAAGCCCGCAGCGTGGGAGTGGGAGGCGAGCTGCTGGTCCCAAGGCTCTGTCTCCCACGTTCTGGCATTGCCGTGTGTCCTTCCAGAAATACGCTCCCTTCTTGAAGTAACCTAAATGTTCACTGCTTTTCCTAAAAACAAAAGGCCAGACAGCAATGAATAAGTAGGCACACGGAGTACTGGGAAGATGACTAAGACCACATCGTTGTCTTCAAGGAGTTCACAGTTCAGTGGAGAAGAAGAGATAGAATACAAAGAATTGTTACACAAAGTCAAGATGGGGTGTTGAGGCCATTAAAACGTTATTTGTCACTGGGATTAAATGTTATTTTTTAATGAAACAAAAAATAAGGTATACATCCCACCACTGGACTCTGCACTGTTATACAAAGTATAACAATTTGCTAATTTCTATTAGCAAATACGTGGTATTATATAAAGTATTAAATTTCCTTAATTTGGGTCATGGTTTTTACCATATCTGTAAACTACTTGAATTTTTATTTGCTTATATTTTCATTTGCTTAAACTCACTTTTATAATTTAAATACATATGTTAGCCCCATCATAGGCAATAGAATCTTCAAAATAATGAAATGTGTGAAAGTCAAGAGCAGTCCTCCATGCACCTAAAATCATCTCACAATCACTGGAGCTACATGTACTGAGTCTTGGAAACTCTGACATGGACAGAAGAGCTAGACTTAGTTGTAAGACCTGACTTTGGACTTGATTCCTTTCCCTGCAACTGTGCATCATGGGTGAGTCTATCTCTTTTACCCTCAGCAGTAAAACTGAGTATAATACCTGCCCTGCCCACCCTACCAGGTGACTCAAGGGTCAAACAAACCAAATGCGTCAAAGTGCTGTGCAGAAGAAAAAGGACTCGGCTAGTGCTGGGTGGGCTGTAATGCCATGGAGTGGCTTCCTCATACGCCTAAAAGCCAGAAAGAATGATTTCTCCACTCAGCTGTGTCCCCAGAACGTTCGAGCCTTCTAGTGTTCTCTAGACTTGGCTTCATTTATTATCAGAACCACGCAGTTTGGACTGAGCTCATTCCTTGCTTTTGTAAATTTTCCAACTATTTCTAGCAATCAGAACCCATCTTCCTGAGTGTACTGAGAAGTCAGAGCGAAGGCGCCTTCCTTTTAAAATGGGCTCAGAAGTGTAACATAGACATAATGCAATGTGAACAGGACTCAGTGCCACTAATGGGCTGGAGTCTTTGTATGAGAGAATTAATGTCTCTGACTCTATTTCTTAAAATCTCTACCTTGTCAGTGTACAATCAATAGATCCAAAATATTACCATCCATTCATTACACATTAACATAGTAACATTTGGGATCTACTGGTTTAAATAGATGTGTTGTTAAAACTAGTTTCACCTGTTTTGTTTTTAGTACTTTTAATGGCCACCAGAAGCTTTTAAATTAGACATATATCTCCCATTGATGACTTGCCTTGTATTGAATAGTGCTGATTTTATACATGCTTTAAGACTATGCTTTTAGAGAAGTTTTAAATTCACAGCAAAATTGACAGAGAGGTCTAGAGAGCTCCTGTTTCTCTCTCACTCCACACATGCACAGCCTCCACCATGACCAACATCCGGAATGGTGATGAGCTTCCGCTGATGCATCACTACTGCCCAAGTCCACAGTTCCTATTAAGGGTCATTCTTTATCTCATGTACTTTATAGGTTTTGGCAAACGTACAATCACATTTATGCACCATTATAGTATCAAGTAGAGCATTTTCACTACCCTAAAACTCTGTGCTCCATTTTTCACCCCTTTCCTTTACTGCAAACCTCTGTTACCACTGCCTATTTTTATTACTGTCTCCATAGTTTTTCCTTTTGCAAAATAGAATCATGCAGTATTTAGGTTTTCTGAATTGGCTTATTTCACTTAGTAATAGGTATTTAAAGTTCCTGTGTCTTTTCAAAGCTTGTTAGCTCACTTCTTTTTAGCACTGAATAATATTTCATTGTCTGGATGTACTGCAGTTTATTCATTCACCTCTCAGAAGCTTCCAAACCAAGAGAAATGTAAATAAAGTTGCTACACACACCATGTGCAGGTTTCTGTATAGCCATGACTTCAAGTCCTTTGGGAACATAGTGAGGGCTGTGATAGCTGGATCATATCATTAGAATACCATTAGCTTTGTCTGAAACCACTGAACTGTCTTCCAAAGTGGCTGGGCCATTTCACACTCCCGCTTGAGATGCATGGGCGCCCCTTGCTCCATATGCTCACCAGCAGTAGGTGTTGGCAGTGTTTTGGGTTTGGCCAGTCCGACAGGTGTACAGTGCTATCTCATTTTTGTTTTAATTTGCATTTCCCTAAGGACACACGATGTGGACCATCTTTTCAAATGCGTACGTGGCATCCATACCTTCTTTTGTGAGTTGTCTATTAAGATTGCTGGACAATATTTCAATTGTTTTTCTTATAGCTGGAGTTTAAGAGATCTTTGTGTATTTTATATAACAGTTCTTTATCAGATTTATTTTGAAAATATTTTCTCCCACTCTGAAGTTTATCTTATTCCCTTGAAAATCTAGGCCGTCTTATACTTCACATTTGGAAAAGACATTGTGGCCCTTACTATAACGGTACAACATCAAAATGGCCTTTGTGAACTGGCAACAGTAGCAAAGCCTTGTCAGAGTTTAAATCTCAACTGCTTTTGTATTTTTTTTTGTTTGTTGAAGCTGCTTTCTAAACTTACTGTTTTGTAGTAAGCTACAATTTTGAGAGAGTAGAATTTGGTCATCTATTCCAGTTTTGTTATTTGGTTATACATTATTTGATTAAAAATAATATTTTGTACTATAAGGCATTTAAGGAGTTGTTTGTATTGTATTGAAAAGTGTAAAACAGAAAAGAATTTGGAAATGCACAGTATGATGGTTGCACAATTCCACGAATATACTGAAAAGTGTAAAACAACAGTGTTTCCCCAAACTATCAAAACAACAGACATACAAATAGGTAATGTTAGAAATACATACTATAGGGCTGGGGATTTAGCTCAGTGGCACCATGCCTGCCTCGCAAGCACAAGGTCCTGAGTTCGAGCCCTGGTACTGCAAATATCAGACTGTATATTTACTGTTAATGAGTCTGAAATCAATCATGGATTATTTGGATGTCAGCAGTATTTTTATTCATATCTGTGAATAAAAACTGCTTTCAGTACTGCCATCTTGCCCAATACTAGATTGTAGATTACCATGTTCTATATAATATTTCATATTAATCTGTGAATCCAGTGCATTTTACATTGAAAATAATCTTATATAACATGCACATTCCCAGGTATCAACCAAGTAAATAGTACATATAACAAGATAAACTTTAAAATCGTTATTTTGCATTCATTGGTGAAATGAAAATACCTTTAAAATCTTGGGTCAGAGATGTTCAAGTTCTCATGCGTGTGCCCGCACCCTGTGTGGCTCTGAGCCCTCAGGCCTTGAGAGTCTTACACTGTGAGGAGGCTTGGACAGCCAGGAGCGACACACGCTGTTTGCTCCATAGAGAGCTTGTAATCGGCATTGCAAACACGTTCTGAAACACTCAAAATAACTCCCATAAAGAGATACTATCACCCCACTTAAGCTGAGAACTGGCAACTCAAAAAAGTAGAACAAATAAAACAATGATTTTTCTGTAATTCACTCACCTCCATGTTCCCCCCCACTCTACATGTTTTTTACACCCTTCCCTCTTCTGAATTTACAAAATGTCTGCTTTCCTAAGCTTGTCTACAAATCAGACACTTGTCTTTCAGTGTGCCATGTATATGTATCAGCTTCCAAGGCTAACCCACCAAAGCTCCGCAAGCTGCTGACATGTGGCACATTTACAATGGACAGCTCAAATGCAAGGTAATTAATGAAGAGAGACTGCCACAGACTGAGTATTAAATTTAAAACGTGGCTGGACCCAGATGTGGAGAGGGCAGTCTTAAATTGCTAAATGAAAAGAATAGCAGAGCACAATTTATTGGAAAGTGAGCAAGACAGAATAGAGAGATTTCTGAAATGATTTAGGAGAAGAAAGGTAGAAAGGGATTATTAGGGAGAGTGGCTCTGAGTGGAAGGAACAGAAGTGGTAGTGCGGAGGGTGGAAGAGAACGTGCAGGGGGTGCCCTGGGTGACAGGAACAGCAGCTCCCCCTGCTGACCACTAGGCCGTGCCAGGGCTGCCATTTCCACAGTAAAAGGCACTGTTAAGTCTCACTTGTGGAAAACTGAGACCCGGAAGCCTAGGTGTTAGACAGAGTCAGATGAAACTCAGTCCTATACACCACAACCAAGAGAATACTGCCAATCTAATGGGGTTCGGCTTAACCTGACCTTGCCCTAGGACACACAATTAGTAAACTTTGGGATGAAATTTCAAATGACTCCAATACCTGGCTTCAAACATTAATCCTTTCTTCTGCATTCCACACTTCTACACAGACCACGGAAGATAAACTATGTAATAGGAGAAGCTTGTGCCAGATAGGCCCTCATTCTGGCATGAAGGTGGCACACTGAAAAAGCAACAGCTGACAGAGCAAAGTTGAAGGTAGGGCAGAGCAGAACCAGTCACGAGAACACACGGGTTATGGGTGGGTCTGCCCTTTGTAACTTGCAGCTTGTCAACATTAAATATTTTGAATGTATAGAAACAGTTAATTGATATAGTGACAGCCATTTTTCCAATAGCTTGCTTACACTGTAATGTGCTTATATACAAGGCAGACATTTTAATCTCCCTCCACCCTGGAAAGCATGGTTGTATTGATTATCAATAGCTAGAGAATGTACACAAATTATTCCATTCTAATTGGCTTTATATGCATTAGTCAACAACACACTTAACAGCTAGATGAATTCAATCAATGATAATGTCTTATGAAGGGCCCTCTACGCAGACTCTTTTATTGAGTTTTGTATTTTATGCCCTGTGTCAGCATCCTGTTATTATGACAAAATACCTAAGAAAATCACCTTAAAGGATGAAAGTTTGTTTTGGCTCACAGTTTCAGAGGTTCCAGTCCATGGCCCGCTACTCCAATTGTGTAGGGTATGCTCCGGGCACTTGCTCTCTTGGGGAGGCAGAAGATAGGGCAGAGGAAAGCTGCCCACCTCACGAGTCACCAACGTCCTGCCCCCGTGACCCACTGCCTTCTTTGAGGCCCTGCAGTCCAAGTCCTGTCACCTCCGATAATGCCATCAAGTTCTGAATCCAGCCATGGACCAACACACTGAAGAAGTTAGCACCTTCATGACTCCATCACCTTCCAGAAGCCCCACCTCTGAACACAGGAGCCTTAAATCCAAATCATAAACTGTCCCTAAGTTTTCTGGGCTGAAATCTCTGCCCATCAAAATGTAGCTCCGTCTGTTGTTCTGGGCTCGTCATTCTTTCTTCGTATAAAGGTGGCACAGAAATTATCCCAGCATATTTTGTTGACACTCATTCCTGCACCTTTTTCCTTCCTTCCCTTCTGTCCTCTCTTTCTGTCCCCTGTTACTCTCTCCCTCCCTTCGTTCACTTCCTTCCCTCCCTCCTTCCTTCTTTCCCACCTTCTTCCCTTCCCATCCCTTCCCCTCCCTGTCCTTCCTTCCCTGTTCCCGATTAAGCCTTGTAGAACAAATCTACCAGAGGTACTATGATTGGACAGGCCCCAACCCTGAAGGAGCAGTAGCAAAGACAGAGAACATGTGCTTCTTTCCAAGTATCACTTCCTACTTCTCAGCAGTGCACCCTAAAAGTTAGTACTTACCAATGGCAGGCCACAACATTTCCCTCATGCCCTTTCTCAAATATTTTGAGCAAAGTTGTTTTGTCCCCACCAACTAGACGAGTTGGGCCAGTGATCCTCTAAGTGATTTTGGAGAAATGTCAGTCCCATGAAATGTTCTTCCAAGAAAGAATTCAAATGTGGCTGCAAACCGCTGTAGACTGCTGCTTTCACAATGTACACTGGAATTTTAAAGGCTCCAAGAAGTCCTGTAGTAGGGAAATCTTTGTTAACCTCACATTGACCAAACTCATTTGACCACAGAAACTTTTCTTAAAATACATCTACTAACATCTCATGATTTGTCTTCCATAAGTGAACTCTGGGAAATTAGACATCAGCAAATTTTTATTGTAACTGAAAAAGAACAGCTAAATACTTTTAAAGTTTCTATTAAAATAAGAATTAAAATATCTAAGCTTCTAAAAATCTCTAATCTGGGCGAGGAATATGATTAGCCTCCTTGGGGTCAGGTGACATTTTCCTCACCAATCACCTCCAGACTATTCAGACAAGTTCTCAGACACACGACACACATGACAGTCACATATGACAGTCACATATGACAGTCCCTGAGCCCTGGGACACCGGAAATGTGGCTTTGCACCTGACAACCAGTTCCAAGGAGACTGCAAACCCAGGCATCAACAGCACCGTGCAAGTAACATAAACGATGAAGAAGTCAGGATATAAAAACACCGTGAAGAAAAAGGAATAAATCAGCAGAGAGCTCCTGCCACTCTGCTCTGTGAAAACTGAGCCCCAGAATTGGTTGGTGGACACCTCATCAACAGACCAACATATTGTACAGAAATTTAAGAAGCTGAATATTTGCATAATTTCGTGTGTCTCCTACAAAGTATTTATAAGTTGCAAAAGGAAGCATTATGGTTTGGTCTAGATGTCCTCCCAAAGCCTCATGCGGATGAGGGGGGACTTTCTTTCTCAGTTCAGAGGTGGTTGAATCTGGAGTGTGTAATGCTGGGTGATGGGCGTGTGATTACTAAACCACTGCGTGAGTGACTGGTTTGGCACCGCCCTAGTCCCAGTGGTCTGAATAAGACCAAAGAGCAGATAGATGCTGTTAAACCTTTTGTTGCTTTTGCTGCCTTGTGCACGCTGTGTTGTTTCTCCTCTAGATGCCTGTTTGCCATCCCAGCCTCAGAGCCAGCCGATTATGGACTGAAACTTCTATGCACTGTAAGCCAAATGAACCCCTTCCCCTCCAACTTTGAGTGTCTAGTATTTTGTTTCAGCACCGAGAGAGAAGTAATAGCACAGGAAGAAATAGTATAGGATTGGTATGATCACAAAATTGCCTCTTTAGCCTTCTTGCCATCAATGCACATCCTCAATCTAATAATAATTTAGAAATCAACTTAAAGTGGGGGACAGGCAATCTGTGATGCCACTGACTAGTTTATCAGAAGTGGCACAGCCTGAAAGACCTGCAATAATTGTGACCTGTCCCAGGTTGATAGAGGCTAAGGAAGCATGACAACCAGATGCAAAGTGGGATTCTGGATGCTAATACAGAAAGGGCCAGCAATGGCAAGAGTGGCCAAGTTGGAAAGTCTGTAGCTCAGGCACACGTATGGTGAGATATTGACACTGGAGGAAGATGCGTGAATGTGCAAACACTGTTCTGTTAGAAAATTTTCTGGCAGTTTAAAATTGGTCAAAATGAAAAGTCTAAAACTAAGGATAGCAGAGAAACAAAAGAAAGAAAAAGAAATGATGAGATTCACAGACTCCAACATATCAACCTACAGAAATACAGCAGAAGCCAGGAATAGGAATCACATGTGTATTTTCAGTTATCTATCGGCAACGTGAAAGAAAGTAAAATGAAACAGATGAAATCAATTTAGTAATACATTTTTTCAGCCTGCTACAGCCAAAATATTAACATTGCAACATGTAATCAATAGAGCAGTTATTGAGATCTTCCTCTAATTTTTCTATGAAGTCTTCAAACTCCAGACGATTCGGACCAGGCCCTTTCCAGCTGCTCTGGACCTGCACGTGGCTGGTGGCTGCAGGGTGACAGTGCAGGCTCACCCCCACCGAGACACTTTCTCCACTCTTCTTTTATTCTGCTTCTTTCTATGAGGGGTTTGTTCTTTCCTACCATGGACACCCCTCTTTCCTTCATCCACTCACTTAGAAGTGTGTATGTGCTCTGGGTGTTAATCTGCTCACAAAACTGACAGAAATCCCAGCTGTTCTGGAGCACCCGCTCTCAGCAAGGAGGGGAGGGGGGCAGGAGCAGTAGCTACAGGAAATAAGTGCATTGTATAATTACGACGTGGTGTGGGCCATGGGGTGAAAACAGCTGTGTAAACCACACAGATAGACCCAGGGTGGGATTACAATCTCAAAGAGGTCTCACCGAGAAGCTGGCATTGGACCAAGAGGCTGCGGTAGAGAGACACAACTTACTCAGCCATCGGAGAGAAAAGTAGCGTCCTTCTGGGAGAGGTGTGACTAGCCCGGCTGGGGTCATGTGACCTCTTCCTGACCAATCACCATGACCAGAAAGGTGGCGGAGCACCCTTCTGATTGCTCTAACTTGCACCGTTCATCAGTCAATCACCAGTAAAGAGATGGCAGCGACCACTCTCAGCAGGGGAAGAAGAAACAATCCTACCCACCAACCCACCCACTTCGTCTTTCATAAAAGAAAGTGCAGCTCTTATTAGAAAGGTGCTACTAGGCAGAGAAAATAATAATTTGCTATTTTGCAGGAATTTCAAAAAGGAACTTCATCTGTAGTGTCCTGTGACTTCCTGAGCAGTCTGTTTACTTCTCAGTTCACCTCGAAACCTTCTCGGTTTTAACAAAGGAAAAGCAAATGGAAAGGACACAGAACTGCTGGCTAGCCAGGCCCCAGCTCTTCTAAGATTTGGTGTTGGAGAATTTAAAAACAGAATGTATTCTTAGAAGAATCTCAGCCCCTTTAGTAGAGGAAAATTGTCAGTTTATTCAGAAATGCTAGTAACAGCTAATACTAATTTTTTTTTTTTTTTTTTTTGGTACCAGGGATCGAACTCAGGTCCTTGTGCTTGCGCAGCAGGCAGCGGAACCACTGAGCTAAATCCCCGGCCCTAACACTAATTTTTAAATTCCCCATAAATGAATATTCCTGAAGAAGAGGACTTTGGGGAAGACAGTAAAAGTATTACTATATTTTGAAAACTGTACAACATAATGAGAAGCAAAAAATCTAAGCATGATATCCATGAAAATATCTTTTACTGAAAGTTCTATTAAAATAAATTTCTTAGTGACAATTGTCTTATAAAGCAGTTTTCACATAAGCTATCTTATTTGTTTTATTACAATATATGACAAGAGATTTATTCTCTCCTTCCTTTCCTATCTTTTCTCCCTCTCCCCCTCCTTCCTTCCTTCCACCAAGTAGCAAATATTGTTCTACGCACTATGGACACAGCAATAAATAAAACTTCTGTTGGGGGGGCTGACATTTAAGAGTGGGTTGCTGGTGAGTGTGTGGGGGTAGACAGGAAGGAATACAAATAAATTTTAATAAAAATTAAATTTGAAAGGATTATGTGATGAGAGGCTGAGATCAGAAGGCCTTCACCAGCCAAGTTAAGGCTGGAAAAGAGGCAGGACCTAAAACCAAACCAAGGACCTATCACCACACAACGGTATTTCCATTCTTTAGTTTTAATAGACACTCTTAAAGGGAGAGAACAATGGGAAATTTTTTAAAAACTGCTTCTTTTTATTTGGTGTTTAATAGAATCAAGTGCAACTGAACCCTAAACGAATATACTTGACCGCCACTCTCACTTCCTGGTGTAAAGGAACAGCATTGTAAACCGCCAGCCCTCCGGCGAAGCACCACAGAAATGGAAGGACCTACTTTGTTAGAACAAGAGTATCTCAGCAGAAATTAGAAGGTTTCTAAATTATGCAGCCAACTGCAGTGTTTTTACATGAGTCCAGAAAGGTTTAATCAATAAAGTTTGATTCTTTCTCTGAAATTTGAATAATTATCTACAGCCTGATGAATTTAACGCCTTAAAGATTGATTACTGCTCTCTGAAAGACTGAGAATTTTACGTGCTGCCTTATATATAGTACCATCTGAGGTTCTGAGCATGTTTTAAAATCTCTGGTCAGTGATAGGTCCTTTTTCAAGTGCTTTCCAATCTCAGCTCCTTCGGTTTCGGGACACAAGGGAAGCGTGGAGGCTGGACTTCGGAAATGAGCCACACCTCCACCGTTCAGCGTCCGACATACTGTCCTTTAAGTTAAAGGGCAGGGTGCCTCAGAAAGCACGCACTGTGGGGAAGTACGATTTGTTCATTCCACGAGACTCCTTGGCTCACCCCAGATCCAACTGGGAATCTTTCGGAGGTGGAGCCTAAGCCTGGGGTGGTTAATAAGGCTCTGGAGAGACAGCTGCCTGAGTCTCCGGCCAGGTCGCAGCAAGGCTGAGTTTGGGTCCTGAAGCTCCTGCTCACTGGCCTGGGTGCTGCGACCGTTGCGTGTAAGGAAGGGGAATGGAGATGAGGTGCCGCACCAGGTCAGTGGGTCTCTGTCCACCAGGCCTGCCAGGAAGAAGAGCGGAAGGAATGTGGGTCCAGCGCACCACAGCCTGCTGTGCTAAGTAAATGCAGCAGGAGAATTCTTCAGGGCTCATAATCCTGACATTTTAACAAGCCCTTCTGATCGCATGTCTTAATACAGCTGGAGCCCAGGCTGCCTTCACGTCTTTGTTTTGCCAAGGGAAATGCAGGTGTTTGTTCTCATGTCTTCTCTTTTAACTTGGACTCCTATCATGTGCATATTTATAGTCCAAGGAGGGAGAAGGAAAATAGGGCAAACTCGCACCTTCGGGGCCAGTTTAGGGGACCTGGGCGGGGAGGTGTCAGGCTGACAAAGATGAGCCAGGAGGTGCTTTGTTCATCGCTCCAGCCTTTTATCATCTGTAGCCCCATCTAAACAGTTTTTTAAAGGACGAAGTGAGCTATCAGGGCCGAAAAAAGCAACTTGTAATTATTGGCTCCCACGGGGACTCGTGTGCTATTTTAAAGCACTAAATGAAAGAGAAACTTCTGAGGCTTCTGCTGCTTGACCTAGACCTTGGGGCTCTGGGGAAGCTGCAATCTATTTTTCCTTCACCTTTAAAACTATAAAAGGAGTACGTGACAATTTTAATACACTTGAACAAATATAATATTCAAACAATACAAATATATTAAGTCAAAAGAGAAAGCTATCTCATACCAGCCACCCCAATTATTTCCTGCTAATTGTGCTAGTTTCCTAGATGTTTATCACCCAGATGCACGGACACACATATGATTAGACTTCCTTGAAATATAAACAAGAGAATCCCGACTCCAAATATTTTTAAACAGGAGAAATCTCTTGGCTTGCATAATCATACTAATGTGAGGGCTCATGTCCGCCCCAGGAATGCTGGATGCAGGGGTTCCCACGGGATAGCTTCTCTCTCATCTTGTGCCTCAGCCCCCTTCTGTGTGTCTGCCTCAGTCTCCCCACTCTGGGCGGGGGGGGGCTTTCTTCACGTGTTGGGGAAGTTAGACGTCTATGGCCCTGGATTCACTCCTGATTTGGAGCAAAGTAATAGCAACACCACTCCCAACAGAACACAACAATGAAAAGAGAAGCATATGTCCTAGACCCCAAGGGCTGTAAATAGTTGCCTGACCGGCAAAAGAGAATTAGGATTGCTGATGGATTTAAGATTTTTAATCAGCTGACCTTAGAGACATTGTCCTGCATTACCTGGGTGAGATCAGGGTAATCCAGGGTCCCTGGAAGCCAAAGAGTTGGGGGGTCACAGTCAGAGGAAAATGAGATCTGTAAGGAAGGGCGGAGAAGCGCGCAGGGAGAAGGGCTCACCTGGCTGTTGCTAAGTTGAAGGTGGAGGAGGAAGCCAAGAGCCATGGAGTGCAGGTGGCCTCTACAGGCTGGGAGTGGCAAGGAAATGCAGTTGCTGCCTGCTTTTCTTGTCCAACACTGCTAACGTTAGGGAGAAGAGAGCAAAAATTGGTGTAGTGGGTTGAATATTGGCCCCATAAAGATGATTCCAAGCCCACCCTTGGTATCTGAGGATGCGACATTACTTCCAAACAGGGTCTTTGCAGACGTAATTTTTTGTACTTAAGGTTCTCAAGATGAAACCATCCTGGATTTGTGGTGGGTCCTGAATCCAGTGATGATTGTCTTTATAAGATGCAGAAAAGGAGAGGCCAGGGAGATAGCTGTGTGCAGATGGAGGCGAAGCCTGCCATGATGCCACACAAGCCAAAGATTGCAAGAGCTGCTGCACCCCAGGACCGGGGCAGTGCCCCGGAGCGGCTGCTCTCCAGTCTCTAGAGGGAACCGACCTGCTGGCAGCGTGGTTTCTGAGATCTGCCCTCTAGAGCCGTGGCGAATGGCATTTCTATCATCTGACGCCACCCAGTATACAGTGATTTGTCACAGCATCCCAGGAAGTCAGGACAGCGGGTTCTGAAAGCAGCTTGCTCTACCACACCACTTCATTTGGGCCCTGGCTGACTCCCCATCCCAGGGAGACAGACCTGGTGGGTCAAGTCATAAAGCCAGGCTGCAGGCAGGAGTCATTCACAATTGTCTTCTGAATGTGCTTTTTAGGCGTTTGCATTTTTTAATGCCTTTTGGTTAAACAAATGACAAAACTGCTTCCACCCCAGAGGCAGCAGGCATCCACATCCAGTGCGAGTTTGGAAAAGGGCCAGAAGGTAAAATGAGGGCCAGGTGGGTGCGCCCCTCCCAGACCTGCAGCAGCTCAGCACTTCAGAGGGTGCACCTGAGAGAAATGAGTAACTAAAGAAATGAAGGGCAGGAGGGAAGGGCTGGGGAGGAAGGAGTAAAGAAAGGAAAAAAGGAAGAAAGGGAAAAGAAAGGATAGTGGGAGGAAAGAAAAGCAGATAAAGTATGACTGTGACAAGAGAGGAGCCTCTGAAGTCCCAGCAGGGCATCTTGCTAAAATTAAGCCCTTTATGTTTAATTCATGAACACTGCTGAAAATGCTCCTAATGTGCCCGCTGCTGGCCGGAGCGGCTAGCTCCCCACCCACACTTCCCCATCCATCACTGCCGTTTCAAGTCAGCTGTGAGAAATACCATGGGCAACAGCCCAAGCAGCAAGCTCACAATCTGACTTTTAAAATTCTCTTTTTAATCAGTAAAGCGCTAAAAAGTGCAATCAGCCATAAGGTACAAAGTACACAGATGTGCTTAATGCACTGGACTTTGTCTCATCTGGCTTCTTACATGAGCGAATTACCACTGGGGCACCTGCTCTCCCACTTGGTAACTGGCAGCTGCATTTTCATTGCAGGCTTGAACATTCTGAGGGGAGACAGCAAAGCAGGTGTTCGGATGCCTGCTTTTAGGGTGGGTTATGTATCGCTGCATAGCTTTAAACCTGCTCAGGGTGACAGTGAAAGTCAGAGAGGTCATGAGAAAGGGACCAGGGCAGGGCCCCTCTCTGGCTCTGGGGTCTCTGGCCCTTGGGACAGCCACTCTCTCTT